CTATTTTTTGGGAATTGAGGTAACAAGGCATGAGTCAGGAATGCATCTTACTCAAACAAGTACACAAATGACTTACTACAAAGATTCAATTTTGAATACCTTAAATCTTGTGCTGCACTTATGATGGTAGGTAAGTGTATCTCTAAAAATGAACGTGAACCAATAGAAGATCCTTCCTTATACAGAAATGCAATAGGTGGTCTGCAATATCTAGCACATACAAGACCTGACATAACCTTTGTAGTGAACAAAATGAGCCAATTTCTACAAACACCTTCAGATTTACATTGGAAGGCAGTGAAAAGGATATTCGAATATTTGAAAGGGACAACCGAACAAGGTATATGGATCCAAAGAAGTGACAATATTGACATTACTGGCTTTTCAGATGCAGGCTGGGCATCCTGCCCTGATGATAGGAGGTCAACAGTTGGTTATTGTGTCTATTTAGAAGAGACGTTGATAGCATGGTCTTCAAAGAAACAGCAAGTTGTGGCAAGGTCTAGCACAGAGTCTGAGTACAGAGCTTTGGCGCAAGCAACTGCTGAGATCACTTGGATTGAATCCTCACTTAAGGAAATTAAGTTACACTCTACTTCACCTCCTATACTGCAGTGTGACAACTTTAGTGCAGTACCTTAGCTTCAAATCCAGTTTACCATGCTCGTACAAAGCACATTGAGTTAGATATACAGTTCAAAAGGGATAAAGTTCTTGAAGGAAAGTTGAGAATATAATATGTTCCATCATCTGATCAAGTTGCAGATTTGTCAACCAAACCTCTTTCACAAACCAGATTTCTATTTCTCAAGGACAAGCTTGGAGTTAAAGATTAAGCTCCAACTTGAGGGAGAATGTTGAAATATACACCTATAGCCAGCATCAGAATCTGCGTATGTCTACTTGGATGATCTTGCCAATTGTGAGCTTCTAATGTGCACCTGTGGGACCACAATGTGGCTGTTGTAACTGTATTGAAACTCACGTGCAAGCTATATTATTCTTTCTTGCTCACCATTCCAAACTTGTGTATATATATTGTAACTTGCTCATTGTTAATGTGTGTAGCAATCAATATAAACGGATTTCTAAATTTACAAAAAACTATCTATTACGCCTATAAATTACCACTTCATATTGGGCCATCTTATTGGGCTCGGACGAGACCCATCAGAATTGGGCCCCAAAGTCGAGGCGTCACCGAGGCCCTAAAGAGTTCAGCCGAGGCCCTCACCAAAGTGCCTATTATTATGTTCATATGATTACCTCTTTATTGGGCTTGGACTTCGGCCCACCAACCCGTTTGGTATCTCCAT